TTCGTAAATTAGCTTGAGATGCAAATTTAATTGAGATGTTTAATTTCAAAATGCAGGTTTTCAATCTTACAGTGCTTCTATGGTTTAGCAGTTTTCAATGCTTTTGTGGTGTAAGATTTATAATCTTTCAATCTGGAATAAAACGCAGGGGAATAAAACTAATTCATAACTATTTAATATTCTTAACCCTTTGTTATTGATATGTTTGAAATGAGAAAAAGAATGGTGGTCTTTACCAAGCTTCTCTGTCCTTTCTGTTTCAAACAGATAAGTGGTTTTATTGAGCAGTAATATAGCCAACTTTTTTTTTTCCAAAGACTTGACACTGTTAGCTTGATACTCGCATTTTCCAGATGTCATGCAATAGTAGTTAAGGGCATCAAGTTGACTTAAACAGATTACATTTCAGTTGTTTGCTTAATAACTGAACATAAAGAAAACCCTTAGTAACTAATCGGTGCATTTTGAGAGTTGTCTACATGTTTGTATTTTTGCTGTTCTTTTTGAAAACCTAGGTTGGGTATTTATCAGTCTTTCAATATGAAGAATCTGAATCGGTAGTGCATACCTCCTTAAGTCAGTGCAGCACTAGTGATAAGGTGTGGGGGGCAAAACTCTTCACAGCCTGATAGTATTGCCCTTTTCTTAGCTGCTCTGTTCTGGATTCACACCCCCCCCCACCCCCCACTAGCTGCTTGCTGAAGGAAGGGACAAGGAGATAAATGCTATTAAGACCTACTTTTTAATTTTTCTCAAGGTTACTAACTCATGTAGGATTTCATCAGCCACTTGTGTGGCTGAACGCCCCTGTGCTGTGCTAGAACAGTGTGCCGGCCTCCTCTTCCCTGGGAGTACTCCTCTCTGTATGGCATCTGAAGAGGCTAATGGTTGCAGTCGGCTATTATCCTGAGCTTCCCTGTCTGCCAGACATGGCAATGTCTCAAGTTTTGAAGAAAGTCTGTTGACGGGTGTGACATTCTATTGCAGCAAGACCCGTAATTTAATAAACAAAATGGGGTTACCTGAAAGCAGAATTAAGTGGACCTGAAGTAAAGGACAAACCACATCTGAATATGCAGACCCATTTCAAGCTTCAAAGGCTGTGGAAAGAATTATTGTGTATTGATTTCACTAATAGGATTACAGGGGTTAAGACAATATATCAGAAGAATCATCTGAAGGAAGCCAGTATGTGTTCAGGATTTTAGACTGCAGTTATATGTGTTTAACACTGCCGTGTCTTTTTGATAAAGGCATTACAAATTCTTTAGCTTATGGTAAGTAATACAAGTAATGTTCTAGCAGTGGGAAACCAGATCTTCGGTAGATTATTATACTTTAAAGCATCATGGAAATCAAGGTCATTGAAACCTGGATAAACCTGAAAATTAAGTATTGTAGTAAATTAATTGTAGTACTTGTAACATCTGATCTCTCTGTGATTGGAATTCCAGGGAGTTGGAGACATGATTACCTTTATGGCCTTGGGCAACTGTTTTCTTTATACTCAAAAAAATGCCAACCAGATCTTGTTTCCAACTCAAGACTCTTGGATGGGCAAAGCCTGATTTCTGTGACCTTTTTGAAGTACCCCATGGATACGGTGTTTTGATCAAGGCATTCACGGCTAGACAAGAGTTAAAATGTTTTCCAGTGATAAAATGTCAGTGCAGGCAACTGTTGCTTCTGTGTGGTTGTTCCATGTTTTGGTATCACTTGTGTTTTGTACAGTCATGCAATGAACCAAACTGGGGAGGTGATCTGGGTTTGGACGCTGAGGAATTATCTGGTCTGGTTCCCCATGCTATCTCACTACATCACACTAGTATATCTGAATAGGGAAGACAAGAGAGGTTTGCTGCCAGAATAAGTGCTTTTCAAATGACAGAATCATAGGCGCTCTGAAAAAATCCAGTTATATATTTGTCTTGATCCAGTTTTGCTTTTTCAGATGAAATTACATGTATTCTCCAGGTACTTTGCAGAATGCAAATTTCAGGTATCCTTCTATATGTCACTGAGTGAGACAGGTAACTCGTGTATTTCTCAGTTTTAAGGATACTTCTTTCCTGTAACCAGAAACAGGTGCTGATACTGCTGTTGCATAGAGTTACAGTTAAATTGAATACTGTGTAAGTAAAGATACTCTCCAGCAGAAGTGTTGTTACTTTTCAAAAAAATGCACTGTTTATTATTCAACATTACCAAAGCATATTTTAGCCAAACACACAATTTCATATGCAAAATGTTAAATTCTTTGCAACCTTAAGTAAAAAAAAATCTTAAATCTTGGGGGAGGGGGGAAGTCAGTAAGAAATACTTTTTTCTTTCCTCCCACCCCAGCCTTCTTGTTCAAATGATGCCGAGTTTGCTGCGTAGGATTGCAGGCCTTTAAAAGTGACGTGTGAATTAAATTGAGCTGTGAGTGTTTCAGGTTTGGCTTTTTTCCCTTTATAGCCTACCATCTTGATGTAATGAACTGTGACAACTTTCCGAATTATACAGAACCTGTATTTGCAGAGGGTTTTCTAACCCTGGGAAAGAAGTAATGGGACTTAGAGCTATGTTTCCTCTGTCTAACAAGCAGTGGGAGAGCCTAATTTTGAGGTGTATGTGTTTAGAACAAGTTATGTCAACCAAGTACTTTCTAACAGAAGTTCTCACTTCAGGCTGGTGCCTATCTCTTAGTCATTTATTTCAGCCATAGTGGTGTCCCAACACTTTCCTGGCTTAAGTAGCAGTGTGACTGTGCAGTGGGGCTCAACAGTGATCTGATATAGATTAAAAATAACCACGGGGGCAGCAAAAGGAATGTCAGGTTACATCTGAAGCCATTTCCTGATCTGAGTCAGCAGGTGGCTATGAAATTGTGTGTCCCAACACATGGGGGAAGCAATGCTGTATGGAAATAAGTAAAGGGTGGAGGTAAGTTGTTAACAAGAAGAAACGTTTAACCACCTGAATTAGTTTTTACCCTATTGGTGTGACTCCCATTTCAGGCAAGCCAGAAATTCCAGTTACGTTCTGGTTCCACGAGTTTGTGGGTTGTTGGGGTTTTTTTGGGTCTGAGGTGGGTTGGTTTGTGGGTGGATTGTCGTGTTGATGTGTGTGGGGGTGGTGGAGTTTTTTCCGCCTTTCTGTGCACAGTGGAGAGTGCTGTTTATGGAGTGTGGCATGGTTTTTATGTTTTTGTAACACCCTATTCCTGGTGTGTGCTGGCATGGCTGTTTGCAGCCACCTGGCAAACCTGACTAGGGTGCTTGTCCTTCTGGGGATAACATCCTGCAGAGCCTCATCTTGGTCTTCTACTACGTATTCTTATGTAGGACCACATTTCTTAGCCTGGTTACTGTGCAGCTACAGTGTACAGACAGGTGATTGTTTTGAGCATGAATTGCAGCCTGATGGCAAGTGTCAACTGGTGGTTTATAAAACCACTTTAGATTTATTTGTTCTTAGTACCTTGGATACACCACTGATTTTGCACATGGAGGGTTACCAGCCCTCTTAAGACTCACCTCAGATTTTAATATCTCCCTAGTACTAGATTACACACTGCTGGCGTCATTTGGTGAATCGTTCACTTAGATTTATCTGACTTCTTAAAAATACAGCAGACTTAAGTACCTGTGCAGAAGTTCATGCAGTTCAACAACTTGACAATTTTAAGTTAGGAATATCGACTTGAATGTGCTGTTTTGTGAAGAGCTATCCTAATTTTAGTTTGCACTGCTGAAAGATGATCCTTCTGTTTCTGTGCTGGCTGTACTGCTGTGTGGCTGTGCAGTCAGCTGCTTGGAGGACCTGCTGCTTCTGGCTGTGCAGGTGTGCTAGTGCCATCGCAAAGTGCTGAAAGCGTGTAACAGGAGGAGGGCAGGACTGCCCCTTTTAGCAGCAAGAGAGGTTCAGGAGGGTATAATCTGCTTCTTAATCTTCCCTCTTGTGGTATTTTGTAGGCAAGTGAAGAATTTGTATCAGGCCTTAGACCCTAACAAATTTTCTTCTTTACCAGGTGTTGGTATTTCCAGTGAGTTCAGAGTTTGCAATATGCTTGGTATCTGGGACCAGTGCTTCTATTTCTAAACTGAAGTGTTGGTAAATGCATTGATGGGTTCAGTTTTTAGATAGTTGTTGGGTTTTTTTGTTGTTTGTTTTTTGTTTTTCTTAGCTTGTAATTTCATGTGGATTGGGAAAGGTGTACTTAAACTTGTGTTTTCAGTTGTGGTTTTGATGTGAGCATATTGAGTCTGAGTAGTTACAGTAGTTTAAATTTAAAGAAGCTTGTGATTTCTGGGTTGAAATTTAGACTAAATGGAAAACCACTGTTAGGTTTTCTTGAATAGCTGAATTTGGGGATGCTCAATTAAACTTGTGTTATTTGACATGCTAAAATTTAGTGAACTGCACTCAGAAACTTTGAAACTCAATCCTTTCAAGATGGGCAGCACAGTTTTGAAGCAGGGTGCTTCTACTGATTATTTGGCTCCTATGGCAAAAACTAATGTGTCTGTTTTGTCAGGTAATTATCCATCACAAACATGTTTTGCATTCTTGGAGAGGAAATGACTTCTGATTGAATTATTTACAAATTCAAAATAGATTTAAGGCCTCAGGAAACTTTGTTTAGGGTGTGTCCAATTCTAATTTTTGGATTCAGTGCTGGACTTCTCTAAGGGATTTGTTGGCGTCAGAACACAGGAGCTACCAAATAAAACTTTGTCACTATCTGCTTCATCCAAGAAACTTTTCTCTCTGTGTCATATCCCAAGATAAAAGTTTGTTTTGCAGGGTTTTTTTCGGTAAGTGTAAGTCCCTAAATGTGCAGTTCACTGGAATAGCTAAGGCTTCGTTTTTTCTCAGACATTCCTATTTGTATGTTTATACTTGGATGTGGTCCCATTAGTTGTTAGAGTTCTTAATTCAGCATAATTTGACATAGAATAACTCATCATCCAAATACTTCATTTACAGCTTCAGTGCATCTCTGTAATTCACAGTAATCTTCTGTCTTACAGATATTTTATGCATGGAGTTTGCAAGGAAGGAGACAACTGCCGCTACTCCCATGACCTCTCCACTAGTCAGTCTGCCATGGTGTGCAGGTATTACCAGCGAGGATGCTGTGCTTATGGAGATCGTTGCAGGTAAAGAAAGGCTGTTGACCAGCCTGTAAGGGAGTAATTTCGCTCTGAGTCCCTGAGTAGAGAGCTCTTTCTTAGGCAATAAATCTTAAAGCGTTTTCACTCTTTCATTGCAAGTTCAGAAATTTATAAAAATAGATTTATTTTTTTTCACAAGCTGCCTTCTCTTGCTAAATACTATAGTGTTTGCTTTACTATGGAAATAAATAGCAAAGGCAAAATGAGAACTGCTTTGTGTGAAAGTACTAGTTGTCAGCATGTGTGGGATTTTTGTTAACGTGAGTACATGAATTAATTGAAAACTGAGACTGCGTTCAAATTAGCTGCACTGATAAAACTGAGTTACGTTTAGTAAGTGATCATAAAAGCCTGAACAGGTAAGATTTTTTTATTTTTTTTTTTCCCCCTGACTGTATGTCTCTCTTCTGGAATTGCTACTCTGATGCTTGAACTGCCATTTTGGAAAAGTAACTGGAGTATAGTCATGTGGGTTCTAAGATATTGCCTGTACAAAATGGCCCTGCATTGTGAAAACATAGTATGACTTAATCTATACCCTTGAAATTATTAAAAAGTGTGAAGAAAGGAATTGGAAACTTTCCTAGTGTAACAAAGCTTTACAGAGTTTTAGGGATGTTTGCGTCATCTTAAGTTCACTAGTTTTAACATTCTGTCTTGTTGCAGTTCTAATGCATGATTAAATATTTGCATTGTGACTTGATATGGTAGTTGACAGCTTTATTTTCATGTTTAATATATGGTTACTATGTAGAAGAAAACAAAATTAAGCCTCTCTTGTAGCCTTCTATCTGCCAGTGTTGCTTTCTTGATCATGTAGATCAGTTCTCTTCAAACTTCTGATCATGCACCCCATCAATGAAAAATTTTTGAGCACTCACCTGTTATGTATATTTATAGATGATATATATCTACTACTGTACTAACACATTATGTACATTATAAACCAGACCAAAATCAGAATTTTATAATGAAGATAAAATAAACAATATTTTATAAAAACTTTGAGTCCAAACACATTTTTTCTCTAAACGCATTACTAGTAGTAATATTTTTTGATAGTGATGTTGATTGGCTATGCTTCATTATTTAAAATCTTAGTTTAACATTTTTTAATACAGTGATTTGAAGATCTTGTTCTAAGTTCAGTTCATTTTAGTACTTAGTTGTCATAACTGAAAAAGATCTTTCACAAAGATAATGTAGATCCAAAAGGAAGAAGCATATTGTTGGCTGCACTTACAAGTGTGTTATACTCATTTTTTTCAATCCCATCCACCAGTTATGCAAAGACTTTTCTTAAAATTTAGCTAGTATATTTCCATCTTCCCTATGTCAATCAGCTGTTCTTGCAGACTAATTAGAAGGTGTTGCATTTTTATTTTTAACAAATTGGTCCAAACCTCACTAAAACCCTTTGCTCAGATTTTAAAATATGTTAGAGAATTCTGTTTCCAGGGGTTTTTAAGTATACAAGATATGAGAGTTTTTATATAGTAGACATGCTTGCATCACTTTTAGCAACAAAATGCATAATGGTGGAAGTGTTTTGGAACAGCCATTTTCAAAATGTTGTCTCCACACAGTGAATTTCTTTCAAAAAGCACTTGTTCTTAAAACATTGCCTTTACCTTGAAAGAACAGATTGAGTGTGTTTAATGTTTTAAAAGCGTCTTCTAGGTAGCATACTACTGACAGTGACTTGTCATCACTAAAAAGGTCAGCAAATTTGGAACACTTGTCTCTTTGTGAAGTAAAAATGCATATCTCATCTTTGACAACTTTTAAGCACTTTACCATGAGAGAACCTGAAAACATCTGTGTGGTACTGAAGATTTTCATGACTGCTCTTCATCTCAAAGTGCTGTAAAGTTTTGATTATTTAAAGGTCTTTATAAAATTGACTGTCTTGATGATGGTCTGTAGAACTCTGTGCGCTTCTAGCTCCATCTCTGCTACAATATCTTGCTTATGAAGGATGCATTGAATGGATTTCTGGTGTTGTGCTATCTCTAACCTTACTCTGGACTCCTTTTTTTTATTCCAGTCAAAGCAATGGCTTCATCAGGGTTATACTTGCACAGTTTTTCCATAAAACATTGGTTTTATTAAAGAAGTAATTTACTTTTGGGAATACATTTCCTCCAACACATTTTTTTGTATTTATTGAAAAAGTAATTTGAGAATATATCTCTTCTGGTACATCTTTTCTGTAGTGGTTCACAAAAAGTATTTGTTTGTGTATTTCATTATTGAAACAGAATCTAGCAATTATGAGACATGTTAGAGGCTTTCATCCAACTGTACAGCAAACTTCCAACACTGCAAAATTTGTTCTAATACTTGTTTCTTCACATCTTCACCAATGTTTTCTATGAGTTTCCCAACAGTATTTGCTGACAAAGGAATGTGTTTGTCACCATATTGTTTTTCGTGTGTTATTTCAGTCATTTTTACCACAGCAGGAAGAGCGAGTGGTCTAATGGTACGTGGCTTTTTGTCTTTCAGTTATGGAAGAAGCCTCGAAAGAGGCTTCTAAACATTTATTATGAAGTTTAGTGAAGAACTGGATTGAGTACTGCATGACTTGAAACATCTCAGAAAAAATTGTAGAGGCTTGTCTTCATGTTCTGGATGTTTAAATTTTAAATGTCTTGCTAATTGTGATACAGCTTCATACTATCATTAGCTATCTGATCTGTACATTATACACTTGGGACAAGGCTCATTTAATAATACTGGATGTAAATCCGTATTTCAAATGATCTTGGTAATACCTTATTTATCCCCTCCCCCAATCCTTGTCAGATCTGCTTAATTTGCATTGTCTTTAGGTGGTTGTAATGAAGAGCTTGTAGTAGGAGTAGAAGTGTTAATTCTGACATTTTCTTATCATTGGCTTCTGCTCACTTTATCAGTACTGTCTGCAGTTCAGAGTTTATTTGCAGGAATCTTTTTAAGCCACTTGTTCCCTTTGTTAGAGTTTGTTTAGGTAAAACAAGATAATATAATCTGTTAATCCGTTTAATTGGACACAAACAAACCGCAGTGTTTTGAAGTATGCTGAAAGTGAGCAAACAAGTGAGGGTGCCGTTGTCAGCCCTGCTGTATGGTGGAACACCCACTCCTCCTTCAGGACACCTTGTGCATACCATGCATGATACCCTCTGACATGAACTGAGTGAGGATACTGCTGTCAATCTGTATGTTTAATATTAGTAAAACTTAATTTCTTATCTTTTTAGAAAAAAAAAAAATCCAACGGCAAGTTCTAGTATTTTTTTCCTGCACCCTAGTGGCTTGTCTTGCACGCCCCCTAGGCTGCATGCATACCACTTGGGAGACCAGTGGTGTAGAGGTCAGAAGGCTTGATTTTTAAATTTGTGCTTCATAGCTTCCTTAGGATTTGAAAGCTGACATTTGGTTGGGAGTATCTCTTTTATATGCAAGTACTGTGACACTTTGTTGTTTTCAGTCTGACACAAGGTAAATGAATCATAGTTGCGTAAAAGTTTTGTACAATCTCAAAAAAATCCCTTCCTTTGTTCTTGAAATTAGTCAGCAAATATCCACGACTTCAAAGGTACACCTGTAATTTATTTTCCCTTGTTGTCTACTAATTGCTGGAATACAGATTTTTTGAGGGAAAGGATGTTTTCCCTGTTTGTGGGTGGTAGGGATCAAAGTGTTCTGAGCATCATTTTCCACTGTTGAAAGAGACATTAGAAATAACTACTAAAATTCAATATAAAATCTGAGCAAGGCAAGATGCTCAGATACAGAAAAACAATCACTTATGTTGGTGGGGATCTCTGGAGCCGTGCTGAAGGCAGAGCCAGCTTAGGTCATGTTGCCCAAAGCATTGTCCAGTCAAGTTTTGATTATCTCTGAAGATGAGGCATATGCAGCTTCTCTGGGCACCCATTCCAGTGTTTGACTACTCTCACAGTGAATTTTTTTCCTAATACCTAATTATAACTTATTATTTTTAACTTGTGCTTACTGGCTGTCATCACTGCACCTCTGAGGAGACTCTGGCTGCATCTTTCCTGTGGCTTTCCCACGAGGTAGCTGAAGACAGTAGTATCTGACCATAGCCTTTTCTTTTTAAAGCTGAATGAACTATTTTATCTCATTCAGTAATACTATACATGCATAATGGGTATATGATCAGCTTTGGATATAACTGAAGTTCATTCTGTGTAGGTTAAGTAAGGATTTTGCATGCTGCTCCGTTTCCTCCAAAATCATGGAGTGTCTTCTGTTTCCTAAGTGGTGATGACAGATTACACAAGTGGAAGCATGTCTCTAGAAAGGGTCATCAGGGGCATTGTCTTCCAAGCTGTTTCTAGGTCATCCTTTCAGATAAGTGTGTTTGCATCTCAATTGGTTTATTTCCAATACCTTTGGCTGCTTTATGGAGTATCTTTTTTTGTGAAGTGTTGACTTGATGTGTTTCAACTTCTTAGATACGAACATACCAAGCCACTGAAAGAGGAAGAAATGACTGATATGACTGATATGAATCCAGATGCAGAAATTTATCCCTCAATGTCCTCAGACTTCGCATCGCTCCCTGAAACAGTTGAAGAAATTATTGCTGAGATAGAAGATGAAGATATAGATCTGGCAGCTGCAGGAGTAGGTGCTGAAGACTGGGTGAATGCTGTAGAGTTTGTTCCTGGGCAGCCATACTGTGGACGTGGTAAGCTGATCGTGGGATAACAGCAGATTTTTGTCACGGGTCAACAATTTGTGTAGTGCATTTATTTTAATGCTTTTGGTTTTGTTGAGTACAGCCATTCATATTACTGCTTCAAGTGATTTGTCCTTAACTTAGGCTTGAATTTTCTGATATGAATCTTTGGACTGTTCCATGCCTGTTACTACTGCTGTCCTGATGTTCTGAAACCAGGTGTACTTGAAGACAGTCTCTGTGTAACTAGCTTCTGTTATTATGGCTTCAGATCACTAGGGGAATCTCAACTGAAGTTTAGTTTGCTTATGTGATGGGAGAAGAAAATACTGGTGATGCAGTTAATACCACGATTTAGAAAACATATAATCTGCCTTTGTTTTGGGGGGACTTTTTGTTCTGGTTTTCTTTTTTTTTTTTCAGTCCTTTAAAGGTTTTCTAGTGGAGGTACAGATTCCTGTAGAACGAATTAATGCGTAATGTTTGCTTCATGGATCTCATGGCAATTCAGACCAGAGGCTGAAAATTGTTTATTCCAGTTACCTTTTTGAGACTTGACTTTCTAATACTGTGATGGCTCGTGTTGAGAAGCTCATCATATGGGACCAGACTGTTTCAGCAGCATACTTGTCATCTGCTTTCTCTGCAGAAAGATATCACAAAGACTTAAAATTTAAGTGAAAAGTAGGCTGAAGGTGTTTACTTTTGCGTATTTACTAATAATTGGCTCTCTAAAACTGAAGGCTTATGGCCATGAGTACTCAAATGATTTTTGAATCCAAAATGGACATCTGTGTCCAGGAGAATTTGAAGTTGTCATACAGTGCTCAGATTATACTACTTTGTCTCCACAGCACTACTTAGATTCTCAGATCTGGAAAGAGAATTGCATTCTCAATGGTACAGGGTGCTGCTGGAGCCTGCTCTGATCTGATTTGAGGAAGGGTGAAGAGAAAAGGAATGGTCAACCAACATTAACATTTTGTTAGTGTTGTTGAGAAGCTTGATTATGGAATTGTTTGGTGTATCTGTGATTTGTGTGTAGTCCAAAGGAATAAAAACTTGTCTTCTACCTGTTAATAGGTCACCTTACTGTCATAAAAAGTACAGCTTCTGTGTTCATTAAGACAAAGGAGTCTTTTTTTATCTTTTAATCAGAACAGAATAATCTGGAAGTCCCTTCCAATCTTCATCTAGTTCATTTCCTGCTCAAAGCAGGGTCAGCTATGTCAGGTTGCCAGGGGCTTTGCTTAGTTGAATCCCCATCCTCGCAGATGTTCAAAACACCATAGCCTCTGGGCAGCCTTTGCAGTGTTTGGCTTCTTTCAGAAGGAAAAACCCTTTCCTAGTATGTGATTGGATTTTTCCCTGCCTCAGCTTGCCTTCTGTCTTTTGTCTTGTACACATCTGAGAAGAGTCTGGCTCTGTGGTTTGGTTTTTTGTTTGTTGTTGTTTAAGATAGAAATAAGATTGTTTCTTAAACTTAAGTTCAGTTTATTCAGTCTCTCTTCATGGGCTTCATCCCCCTTAATGGCTGGGTGTCCCTCCACTGGAATCAATTAATTGCTAGTTTGAACAGCCAGAGATTTTCTAAATACACCTGCTCCTTATAGGAGAGCTGGTGCTATCTCCTAAATTCCTGAAGTGTAAGAACATTTCAGTATACCTTTAACTTCGTTTTCCTGAAGCAGCTCCTTTTTCTAGGGGGGGGGTAGGCTTATTTTTCATGGAAATTTGTTGCTGCCACAGAGTAAGTAACAGTCTCTTTTCTGAATCTTGTTCCAAATTCTCTGTTGTTTGAAATTTATTTTAATGTCCAGGCATGCTTGGCTGTTGATGTTCTGAACAGTGCTACATGATACTAATTCTCATGGTGATTTCTTAAAAGCTGCATTTAAAAAAACTTTGCTTTTCTGAAGCTACGAAAATGAAGAATCTTGCTGTAGTGATCAGGAGAATGTGTACAGTGTGTTTCACAGTGTATGATTTAAAGGTTATTCTTGTCAAATGCCTGGAGAAATGTACAGGTACTTGGAAACTTGAAAATGGAACCTATTAAGATTAGCTGGAAACCTGAATGTTTTAAATTGTCTTAAGAATGCAGAAGATTCAGGGTTGACAGTTTAACTGTGAGTAGCTTGGGCTATAATGCTTATATTTTACTAGGGAGTCAAAGACATTCTGTTAATGCAGATGGTGCTCTGATTTGAGACTAAACCTGTTTTCTTGAAGCTAATCTCAGGGCCTAGCAAAGAAAATAGTGACAGTCCTTCGGATACTCCCTTATTTGTACAGATGCACCACATTTCTGTTTTTTTTTTCTGCTGCTAGGTGTTACGGAATAGTTGAGGGAAAGTAGAAAGGCAGAAATATAGGAAACACTCTGAATTGGATGGCTGTTTCCTGCTGCTCCAGGATGAATGTATTTGATGCTAGAAAGTGTATTCTACAGTGAAAGCAGGTGGTGTGTGAATTGAAGGTAGTGGACTAGTTTTTTCACTAGTACAAATGTAACACTGGTGACTGAAATGGGCAGTGAGAAAATAGGGGTTGGGTCCACCTACTGGATAGCAGTGGTTTTGAAAACAGTGTGAATGTTACTCTGAGGGATACTGGATTCGCAACCACTGAGGCAATGGAGTCTGAGTTTCTCTCATTTTGCTTTTAAAGAAGAAGAAAAACTGTAGCAGATACAGTGCAGTAGATACAGGAGATAGGCATGCAAGGCTTTAGGTTGTGGAAGCTGAGATATTCAAAAGTGGAAATAACTTAATTTTTATTTCATAGAAATACAACTCTCACTGAGGGGAAGTTCTGGGACAGCATGGAAGAGTGGGACTGGAAAACTAATGTCACTTTTAGCATGTTTGTCCCTCTCTCACTGTAGAAGTACCTAGAGCCAGTATTAAAGGCTGACATACATAGATCTGTATCTTGTCTAGATGTCTTGTCACTAAGGAAGTAGTTGTACTTTTCTGTGGAAGGATACTATTTGGCTGGGCTGGATTTTAGTAGCTGTACTGTGCTTGTTGACTTAAGCAGTTGGTAGTTTGTATTAAGTAACAACTCTACTTTTTTGTGTGTGTGCTAAGATGAGAAGCTCTGCTCTCTCCTTCAGTGGACCAGCATAATAAATAAAGGGTTTTCTAAGTCAGTCTCTGGAAGGGTAAGACTTCAAAGCCTTTATTCTTAAAGGACTTTAAATAATAAGCGGGGGGGGGTTTTGTGAGTTCTTCGGGCTTTTTGGATGTTTTTTTAATGAATAAAACCTTTACTGAATAAAGTTTTGACAAGGTATCATTGAGGAGTGCAGGAGACTGGGAAATTTTTCTGTTAAGAGAAGCTCCAAATGTATCTTTTCTTTCAAAGTACACATTTATCAGGGAATCAGGATTACCTTAAGCAAAGATCATCTTGCCAGCCCCATTAAAAGAAGTGCTGTGTCACTTGATTCCTTTGGATCTCACCTGCATTTGTCTGTCTAGTAGGCTTCTGGCCATCCATACTATGATCTACCGAACTCCTCCTTAAGTAAGGGTCATACAAGATGTCACAAGTCATGTGAATCAACCAGGTAAAAATATATGTAACAACACTGACTGGAAAAAACACTGGCAAAAGTGACAGTTGAGGAAATAAAAACTGACTGGTAGTTGTGATTTTTGTTACTTGTAGAAGTGGAGACCATGGATTTCAAGGGGGTGGGGTGGGGGGTTCAATTAGGTACAAATTTTCATATTATGTTCAGCTACTCAGAAAAGTTGAGCCTAGTGTTATGGTTACTTGTTACTTTTCTTGGTAACAGTTCACTGGAACTTGCAGGGAAGGAGAGGTAATGTTTTTCGTTGGGAATCTCTTGGTGAAAAATGAGGTTGACAGTTGACTTGTTATTCTGTCAGTCATTTGCTTTTGAAAAGTATGTTTCTAGCAAACAGATTGATCCAAAATCAGTGTGAGTGACCTTTAAAGTCAGAGATGGTTCAGGAAGCAGGCTTGAACTTATTTTGAGAGCTACTGTGGTCCTGTGCTAATCTTCAGTATTTGCTTATCCCCCAAAACTGAACTCTTGGGGACCTGCTTTATCTTTTTCTCTGTATGTCCAAAAGCTAGCAGGCTGGTACAAGCTTATTGTGTCTTTTGTTCCATGGGGATGAAAACTCTGCTAGTGTGCAGCCTCTGATTCTCTTCTTTTTGAGGAGGAAGGAGTGTGTCCTTGACTTGTACTGAGCCAAGTATGCACTTGATAGTTTTCACTTCTCCAAATCTAGTGCTTGAACAGCTTATAAAAGTTATACTTTCTTACAGCATAGATGACTTCACTCTTCTAACAGCTACTGGTTATGTAAATGAAGTCCAGTTACTGCTCTTCCAGGTGTTTATTCTGAATATGGTAATGTTTTGTTGTCCTGTGTTTATTATCTTCAGTTTCAAACTGACTGCTTTTGTCTTTAACTTAGTTTATCATCCTACTTATGTAATGATCTCAAAAGGCTGTTTGCTTTATGCTGGCAGAGACAAGCATGTGTTCAGGAGGTACAAGGAGAAGTGTTAAGCAGAAGCTGTCTAAATGAGAACTGATATAGATTTCAGCTTAATTAGAATTAGGTAATGGAATTAGAATTTTGCAAAACTGATGGCTAGCCTAGAATGCAGTGAAATGGCCCTGAATTTCAGCTTCTTAAAGCTTAGGTTTGTGCCTGATAGACTGGATATCTGTTTAGGACAGGGTTTTTGGCAAATATCTAGAATAAAGTTAGTTTGGTGAGAGGTGTGGACACACTTTTGTATCATTCATACAGATGCATGGAAGCCTAAGAAGTGAAAGTCTGTTCAGGCTGACCAACCACCTGCTAATGAACCTGCACATAAGGAACTGCTGCTGGTGGTGTATCCATAGTAGCATTTTGTGGTGCTGGATACATTGTTATTGCTTCAGATGTGTAATTGGGGGGCAGGGAAGCCTGTTAACTTTAGCCCATGTGGAATTGATTTCCTAAAGCTGTGAGACATTTGTAACCTTATTTAACTTGTTGATGAATGAGACTTTGTATAAAAATGTACTTAAACTGCTGAGGACCAGTGAGATTTTCCTACTCTGAATTTGGGTCTGAATCTGACCCCTGAAACCTTGATAGCTTTAGTCTTGTCTGGGTTGAAGGGTGAAGAAATTGTCTGTGCTTTCTTGAGTGGGAAAATAACTGTTAATTCAGGTTGAGGGTATGTGAAAGTTGGACTGAAATGTACTGGTTGCTGCTATTACTCTCATTGGATAACTCGAACAGGGTTACCCAAAGATTACTTTGCATTAAAACAATGTGTTCTCACTCCCAGTGCTCTAAATGAGTGTAGTGCTTACTCTCCATAATTTTGTTCCCAGCTGCTCCTTCCTGTGCTGAAGCACCCTTGCAGGAAATGGTGATTGAGGAAGAATATGAAAAGGAGCAAATAGATGTGGAGATAAAGAAGGAGCTGTGCCCCTACGCTGCAGTAGGAGAATGTCGTTATGGAGAAAACTGCGTGTATATCCATGGGGATGTGTGTGATATGTGTGGACTGCAGGTCTTGCATCCAATTGATGCTGCGCAGAGATCCGAGCACATAAAGGTAAGCAAACAACTGTCTGGTGTTAAACAGCTTTAAGTTATTGCTTCCTCTCTCTCCACAATCACTTGTCACTAATTCCCTTTCATTTGAAGATGCATGCAGGTTAGGCAGTGAATGAAATTGCTGTTGTAAACTGGACTATTTCCTGTCAGGGCCATACTTAGAAGCAGCTGGGTTTCCTTATCTGTGCTGGGAGAGCAGTCTGCTTAAAGATACTAAAGCTTTGTTCTTTGTCTAGTAAAACTGGATGGTCTCTTAGATTGCTCTTCGAACGTCTAAAAGCAGTGTCTTAAGAAAGGGATTTGGACTGTGAATTGATCCCCACTACCTGAGCAAACTTTTCTTAGGATAAAGATTTTTCAGCTTAATCATACTCCATTCATTATGCAAAACAGCAGAGTAAAACTGAGCTTAAAACCTTCTTAGAGTTGCCCAGGTGACCAGTTGTCTCTGTAGCCGTTTTCTTTGTCTCTCCTTTTCAGTCTTGCATTGAAGCTCACGAGAAGGACATGGAGCTTTCATTTGCCGTCCAGCGTAGTAAAGACATGGTGTGCGGGATATGCATGGAGGTGGTGTATGAGAAAGCTAATCCTAGTGAGCGCCGCTTTGGGATCCTCTCCAACTGCAGCCACACTTACTGTCTCAAGTGCATCCGCAAGTGGAGGAGTGCTAAACAATTTGAGAGCAAGATTATAAAGTGAGGCACTTTCCCATTTCGATTGTGCTTTGTTGCTATGGAAGAACTTAGTAACTTGTGACAACTTGCAACAGACTTCCAGATGCAGACTGCACAGAGACTGCATTTAATGCATACTAACTTTAGTTTGGAAGTGAATTACTTGTTAGGGATAACATTTACACTCTGATTTGGTTAATATGGAGTAAGCTTGTGAAACTCACTTAATGGTAGAAAATAACTTTGATTTATTTAGTAGCATGTTGTCCAATGGTTACTGTTTACGTCTTGGACACCCAGCCAGGAATCTGAGAACAGATTAACCAGTTCAGAATGTATGCTGCTTAATTTGTTACTGCCCTAGTTCATTAATCAGTTGACAAAAACATTTTTCCATTTAAAGGCTGTTCTAAAAAGACAGTTCCAATCAAATACAGAAATCAAATCAAAATAAATTATTTAATTCTAAAGAAAAAGGAGTCTGTGTGAAGTGTTTTTTCAAGCTTTTCTGAGACAAGCTGATTGCTGCCATTGCCATTGAGTTCTTGAAGAAGAGAGTTTAGGTTATCTTCATGTGTAAGAGAATTTAGATTGAAAAGCCCATACAGCAAGTATGTGGGTACAATACATCTTTTAAAGATGGATATATACCATGACTTATTATATAGGAGAGAGAGCGCCCTGTAATGTGGAGTTTTGCAGCGCAGTCTGTTCATTCCCCAGGTCCTGCCCAGAATGTCGGATCACATCTAACTTTGTCATTCCAAGTGAGTACTGGGTGGAGGAGAAGGAAGAGAAGCAGAAACTCATTCAGAAATACAAGGAGGCAATGAGGTATGAGCCCTGCAGCCTTTTGTCAAGTTGAGCCAGCAGAGATAAAGGCACACCTGGAGAAGGGTGTTGATGTAAAGCGCTCTCACACCTCCTTTCCACCAGCACGTGTGAAGTGCGTCCTTACCTGGCTGCTCGCAGATGCATGCAACCACACAGTCGCAAAGCTATTCCTGTGTTCTTTGACCTCGATCTTTCCCTTCTATACACAAAATGCTGGTGGTGTAGCCATAAGGTAGAATGAGCTTGTGTGCTGCAAGCTATCAGTGTCCCTGTGCATGCATCAACCCACACACGTTGTGTAGTACGTCATTTCTGCGCGTAGGGGTTATACTGACAAAATACCTTCAGCTGCAAATGGTACCTGAGATCCTTTTGGACTACAGGTAAAAGCAATTCTGAAGTCTGGTTGGGGTCTGCTGTGAGTAAGGGTTGCGATATTTTCCTTTCCAGCAACAAGCCATGCAGGTATTTTGACGAAGGCCGTGGGAGCTGTCCGTTTGGAGGGAACTGTTTTTACAAACATGCATATCCTGATGGCCGCCGAGAGGAGCCACAGAGACCCAAAGTGGGAGCATCAAGTAGATACCGGGTCAGTGCTGCTGTGTTTTGTCCTTTCTTTTCAGAGCAAGCGCAAGAGGGGTGTGCATTAAATCAGCTGATTAGAGAAGAGGACCAGGAAATGTTGACTCTTGTGTTTTTCACTTCTGATAGACCTCTGTAATGGTGAACATGAAGGAGGTGATGATGTAAAGTTTGGAATGCTGGAGGCCAAGATGCAAAGAGTGAATTTTAAAAGCTTTCCTAGTACACCAACATACTGAAGTAGAAATACTGGGTAGCATTAATAGAGATGTGTAGGGGTAAATTCTACTGGAGGTCAATATCTCCCTGAAAGAAACTGCTTTTTGCATGTCAGAAAGTATGCTGGGGGTTGCTCCTGGTCAGCCTCTGGGAAGACTCCTACCTCATACCGCTTGGTCACCTGGGGAAATACTTGTGTTCCTCTTGCAGGCCCAGCGGAGGAATCGGTTCTGGGAGTTCATCGAGGAGCGGGAGAACGGTGATCCGTTCGAGACCGATGAGGATGAGGTGGTGACCTTTGAGCTTGGTGAGATGTTGCTTATGCTGTTGGCAGCAGGAGGTGATGATGAGCTTACAGATTCTGAGGACGAGTGGGACTTGTTTCATGATGAGCTGGAAGATTATTACGACTTGGATCTATAGCACCTGTCAGTGGAGTGTGGACTGTTGTCTTGGCTTCAGGCAGTAGCTATTACCTGTGGTGTTGTGGCAGTGCCTGTGTTTCTCTTAGGCAGGCCGATCAATTCCAGGTGCTGTTGTAATAACTTTTACCCAGGGTCTGTCTCTTCCCACCCTCTCCCACCCCAGGAGTGTTGTTTTTCCTCTGTTTAAACCAATAACAAGAAATAAATCTTTAAATTGTTAGTTTTTGTAAAAATGAGTTTAACTGTCAAACAGTTAGCTTAGATTTGTTGCTTCATCTGTGTAACCAACAGAGTTCACCCAGTTCCAGGGTTAAAGTGTTTACAGGACTTCCACACTCATTTTGAAGAGCCCAGATACAAAAATGAGCAGTGGCCATGCAGTGGGGATGTAAATTGGCTGATGGCCTCTTTTCTGTCTCTGTACCAATATTGCTGACTTCAGGCCAGATACAAATTCTTTCTGGCATCAGCTCCGTTCCAGCCCCCTCATGTACACGTCTTCATTTGTGATTTTGGTCTCTTGTTTACTTGCACATTACTATTACTACTGTGTAACCAGAACCAGGTGTGAACGTTCTGGGTTTTTACTGTGTTTAGCATGAAAGGAAAAATGTCTTTGTGAAAGGAGAACTCTCTATGTGTATATACAGATAAATGTAGAGTTGGACCTCAAGGATGGGGAGACTCTGTGTAAGTTAAAAATAACAAAACCATCTTTCATCCCCTCTTGGTGCATGAAGTCTAGCCTCCAATTGGACATGAAACTGGTTTAGTGGTCTCAGCCCAGTCTGTGGCAGTGATCTTGACTATCGCTTAACTTAATAGATGACACTCCCTAATACACCAGCTCTCTTTCATGTGTATGATTAGGGTTGTCCAGGAGCAGAAATCCGGTTAGCCAAGGTGGGGTCAGAGGAATACCAGAGAGGCCCCTTTAGCTTTATTGCTCTGTAAGTTTTAGAACTTGCTGTAACCACTTAAGCTGTGCACTTTGCTAGGAAATTGCTGTGCCTCTTGGCTGGTTTGAGGTACACGTGCCTCTCAGCATCTGAGTTGGGCAGGTTGCCTGGTAAAGCTGTTCAGTTTATGTGAGTTACTGCTTACAAAGGCAGTCATGCAGTTTCTGGCTGTAATTTGCATTGAGAAATTACTTTGCCACCAAAGCCCCAGCACAGGAATTTTAACCTTGCATTATGTTATTGCTGTTTTTTATTGACTCGTGGATGCCCCGTGATCTGTTCTCCTGCTGCTCTTGTCCCCTAGACTGCCTCTCCTTTCACTTTTAAATGGAATGAGAAATTGTTATGAGGTCTAAAACGTATTGTTTTGCAGCTGCCTTTTGTAAGAAGCACTTTTCCCAAATAAAAAAAAAAAAAAGGAAACAAGTCTGCCTGTTCTTTTAAGTTTGAAGCTTGTGTTTCAGCGTGATTATGTTAACTTGGTTATAACTTTTCCAGCAAAGACCCTATAATGTAAAGAACACATTCTGAACAGACAGCTGAGACAGTTGAGCTGTTGAAGGAATCTGTGGGGCCATTAGTGGGAACAGATGTGGCTTGCTTTCTCAGAAGTAAGTTCTGCACTATGATACTAATTTTATTTATCCTGAAAAGTAAATTCCTGTACATATTCTGTTGATATATTCCTGTTATAATGCTGTTTGGACAGCAAGTCCAAGCACTGCAACAGGCAACTTCCTGAGAATCCACATGCTTCTTTGAGCCCATGAGCCAGAAATACATAAAGTTGGAAGTAAACTACTGGAAACATATTCAGATGCTGAGGGATATGACTAAGAAACGTCTAACTGAACAGTCTAAAACCCTCTTTGGTTTGTTTTGTGTGTGTGTTTGTTTTTTGTTTTTTTTTTTTCCCAGAGGCAAGTAGCAGAGGGAGAAAATGATTTGAACGCAAATGCCACTTAAAACATATACAGGGAGAAACAATAAAAATGAAAGGCTTTGAAGCAGAACTAGCCTTTTCTCTCCTATGTAGTGAACACAATCCTATTGCAGAGCTGCATTCAAACATAAATTTAACAAAGATGTGTTCTGGTAAGGTGGAAAAAGGTAATAAACGTACTAGCCAGAGCACATGTAAGCAGTTTTCCTTCGCAAGTGGTCTGAAATGGCATGCTTGACTTTCTGAGTGGATGTATGTGTGGCACAAGGGTGGATGCTGCTGCTTCTACACCTCACTTCTGTACAGGTTATGGGGGAGGCTGAGAATACACAAATCTGACTTGCTTTGGTGGAGGCTGTTCTGTCTAGCTGTAAGGTAATCAAGTGCATCCTGACAAGTAGTTTCTGTTGATCTCTCACTTTGAAGCATGCTGTGGTTCTTGTTCTGTAAGTTAAAGAACCGCATGTGTTTGTCATCAAGCAGTACTGCTGTGTGTCACTGCCACTTTGAGTCTTGGTGGTGGTAGGCCTGTTTCAAAGCTTGCTGTTGCACTGTGATTTCCACCCCACCAGACAGGAATGGCTGAAAAGAGTAGAGCCTTTGAAATGAGTTAAGTATGTTAGGCTGCTATGGTTTTCCACTGTAAGAGCAGGAATAAATTCAGTAGAATTAAAGGCAAACTTTTAATGCAGAAATAGAAAGGGCAATGACTTAGGCTGTGCTACATTTTCTTTAAACAAATACCTAAGGTGCAGAAACTGGAGACCAATGAGAGTAGTGTCAAGATGAAAAAGGTATAAAGACCCCATAAATTCCACCAGCAAAATCTTGATTTTGAAACAAATCTTGAGAAAGAGAGGCATGTTCTCACTATGCAAGACTATACAGTTTGGTATAAAATTCTGCATCTTGGGGTAAATGCAGAATAAGTGTCTGCTGCCCATTCTAATTAGTCTGAATGTGATCATACAGTCAAAGAGCACTTCTTAGAACCGCTGCTGCTTTAGTTCATATCTGGATAGCACAGCTCTTTCCTGCATGCAGCCCAAGGTGCACTGTGATCTTGCTGAGGGGATGCCTGGTTCATCTAATGAAACAAAGAAACTTTCCTGCTACAGCAGGCACAAAACAGATTTCTGTTTGGAGGAGAGGGTGAGGTATGGGGTGTCTCATGTTCAGAACAAAACTTATATATGTAGAATTATTAATGCTGCAGCAGCTTAAAACAGAGACTCCACCTGTAGTCCCTTAGGACTGAGATACAGTACAGGGCTGTGCTGTAAGAATCAAGCTGCTGCAGTCAGTTTGATGCTAGCACTGGAGAGGCATTGTTAAACTAGTTGCAGTGAGCCTCACTTTGGATAAGCAAAATAGACAGATGTGAGAGTGAAAACTAATAAGCAGTGATGTTCATGGATGCAGCTGTAGTAGGGGAATGTGGGATTGCAAATATGCTAAACTTGTGCCCCTGCTTGCTGCTGTTACCCATGAGTGTGGTATTTGTCACTCCCAGCCAAGCCAGAATCAGCACCTGTTTGGCAGTAGCTTGATAGGATTGCATAGACAGAGCTTGTGCAGGCAGCCAAGTTAAGATTGATTTTTAGAATAACAGCACTAGAAAATGTGCTTTTAAAAGACTTTTTAAAGGTCTACCTCTCAAACTGCAAGTTCCTATTAAAAGTTGAAGTGCTCTTAGATAAAAGGGGTTCTTAGCCTGTCTAAAACTTCTCTCAAAGGACTGTGATATCCCAGCACTGCCTGTTGTAGCTCCAGTCTTTAACACACTTGCTTGAGAGAGGTGTCTCAAAGTGGCTTCAGGAGTCAGTATACTGAGCAATGAGTATTAAAGCCCCCCTGCCTGTAGCCAGATGGGGTGTTCTGGGAACAGAGATAGAAAACCCTACCCCTTGGCAGCTAAACAGTGCTGTGGTTAGAGCACTCATGGGGCTGAGGGACACTTCAGTTCCCTGTCCAAAAGCACAGGCATGCATCTGGAAGGAGGCTCCAGGATAGAGCTCTTGATCTCTGGTCAGGGCCTGAAAATTGCTTTCTCTGTCTCCTTTCCAATGATATTTAAACATTAACTGGAATGATGAGGTAAGAACTTCAGCTTTTGTTATTAAGAGCCAGTCCCCTATGTATGAAGAAAAGCTTGACCCCACTGGCAGTGCCTCATGTCTTCCACATCACTGGGTTGTAGTTGTGTTTGCTTTCAAGCCAGTCAGCTTCTGGGAGGTGTCAGTGTTCACTCCATTTAAAAATATTTCTGGGATTTGTTTTTCTTTTGTTACCTTGTTATGTGGATGGGTGCTGCTTCAGTCTTACCTGGCATGGCTGTGATACCAATGCAAGTGATGCATCACAGCTTAGATTCAAATACTTCTTGTAATAGGTAAAAATTTAACAAATAAGCTCATCTTCAAGCTGGATGTGCACCTCTTAAGACTGTGGGACAGTCATTGTTTATAGAATAGATTGTAAACAACATTACAATAAGCCACACTTTCTACAAGTGCGTTAATGATGCTGTCAAGAAACACACTGAATTTGCATATGATGTTGGGGAACAAAATTGTTAATAGAAGGTTCCAGAGCAGTTACTGCAAGTACCATTGTCACAGCCACATGCTTCCATCTGCTCTGTGGTGAGGAAAGGCACAACCGCAGAAGTTATACTGTGCTTATTTTTTATTCTAGTGGTTGTTGTCTTACACTCTAGAATAACAATAAAGGGATTTTTTTTGTTTATAGCTTTCTTCATGTATTACCTCATGAGTAATTCTGTCTACTAATATATACTCTGAAGAATCTTCTCGTTAGCAACTGCTGCAGCTTGCTCATTCACAAAGACAGCTTAAAAAAAAGTGAGCCTAAGGAAACCATTCCCTGTGATCACCCAAAGGGCTTGTGGAAGATGCCAACCAAAGAGGTCACACCCCTGGCTTAGCTGCACAAGGGGTGGGTATTTAAGACTAGTTTCTTGAAAAAGTAGTAAGAGCCATCACACCTGTTAAAGGGAACAGCACAGCTCAAAGCCTGGTCACAAGCATGCTCTCCCCCACCCTGTGTCACACAGCCTTCTGCCCAGGAGGGATGTACTCTGCAAGCAGCTCTGTGTGCAGGACAAGAACGGTGGGAGCACTGTAACCTGGTAGTTCTGGGCCCTTGAGGGAGCATTGGCCTGCAGCAGTCTCCATACTGAGGGTAAGCAAAATACTTCATACAGTAATCTCTAATTAGGGCAGTAAACCCAGTGAGCCATACAAAGGTTAATACTCTGCTGGTAAGAGCCATCCTCTAATTCTTGGCTAATGAAGGAGTATACAAGATGAACACAATAACACAATGAACCTTCTGTTAAGGTCTCCTGGAAGATTAGTATTTGTTGCAAATACTATCTCTGGTATATCAAATAGAACAAAGTTTGCTAGCAGTTTAAGTGTGGGTACTAAAAAAAGTAAAGACTGCCACATTATATATAAACTACTACCAGGAGTGGTTTGGATTTTAAACACACAAGAATATTAAACTTAATTTGACTGTTTTCCTAGTGACAAGAGGTGTAGAAACTAGTTTGGAAGCTGGATTGCTACTTGTTCAGCTGTGTTGAAAGGTTATGGTGATTACTGTTGCTTAAATATGCAAACTGAAATGCCAACTGCTAGGCTAGTTCCAAAACAAGATGAAATTAAGATTTAAAAAGGAAACATCAGAAAGAGGATGTCTGGAGAAGCAGCTTTCTCTGCAGCAGACTATAGCAAAAGGCTTAGAGGCTAGCACTGAATATTAAACCCCGCTCTTTGCAGGTGATGACAAAGAACCTGGCCAGAGGAAGCATTCATATCATCAGAAATAATTGCAAGACTATAAATCAGTGATTCATTCTGCTTTATTTTTTTGTGCTTCTCAGACAAGATTTTTCCAGAAGTAATTGCTACAATTTTCCTTGTTTTTCAACAACTTGTGAAGCATGGGTAGACTGCCATAAGCTAGCAGCACACCAGCCTTCCCAAGGCTTCTTTGCAGGTAACCCAGACTGTTTTACCATTACAGAGTTAGAGTTCCAGTTTGTAGCTTAACAGTAACGAAGTGATGCGCCTTGGTACATGTGGAGTGCAGTCAAAAAACTTACTGGTTAGTGTTTCTTGCCTCCCTCTCCTTCCCTGTTTCCATCTACTGGAGAAAAAAAAAAAACAAACAGCAACAAAAAAAACTAATGAAACCCCCCACAATAAAACAAACCCTTCATTCAGTTCCAGTACATAGAAGTGAGCCCTCAAAAAGCAGAGCTTGTATTTGGGAGGAGTAATAAATACAAAACCATCTATTGCTACCAAGGTGTTCGGTCTCCATAGCAGTAGCATATATACTTGCCTAGGGATAACTTTCTGGTATGCTCCATACCATTCCCCTACAGCTGTAAGGTGAGGTTACATGATTAAACCATCTTACCCCTCGCTAAGTCTTACAGGAGCTTGAATCTCTTCTTCACACTTGAAAGTTACAGGCATACTCTCAAGCTGCCATTGGCCCATCACACAAACTACAGAAGGCTTTTGATTAAAATGAGCACATCAAAAGCAAGACAGGAGTTGGGGGAGGAAAACATCCTTTCATTCCAGCATTGATTTAGGCCATTACTGCTGCCTTAGAAGCATCACTACGTCTAGCAAGTCTATGTAGCAAGACAGAGATCACTACTGGAAACAATTGGTAGAGTGCAAAGTGAAAGACAACTTTTCTCACCCCAGGAAAAGGGTTGAGACCCTGGTGTATCATACTCTACCCACTATGAAACCCCAGGGATGTTTCCAGGTTTGTCTGGTGAGGAAGTCAGTACAGCTGTGAAATCACGGCCTCTTTCACCAATGTTACTAAGTTCATTGGGATGGGTGGCTACATGTCTCACATTGGGACCACCCCTAAATGAAAGCTTAAGCAGCAGTGGGTTAGTGCCGTGAAAGCACTTGTCAGACTTTTTAAAGCTACTGGCAAAGAGTAAAGTGCTTACGCTAGAACAAACAACATAGCTTAGGAGGGTCAAACCAATGCAGAGCTCTGGTGCAAATTTATCTTCAGACACAGCCAGAAAATCATTTAAGGTCATAATTAAAGGCAATAATTTTTACAATTCTCTTTGGTTAAGGCAAGAGCTAGCAGCTTTGCAAGTCCTCTCAGCTCAGATGTTTCTGTTAAAGTATCAGCTGCCATGTTCAAAGCAACCTGTGCTACCAACAGCATCAACAATCTCTGAAGATACTTGCAAGACAAACTGCAAGGCGGAGGTATCAAGAGACAGCTTGAGGCCACATAGCACACTTCCATCAATTCAATAAAATGCAATCAAACAGCCTCAGGAGAATGACAACTTCCAAGTTCTTCCTGAAATCTCTAACAGAGGCACTGGGTCTTCTCCACACTTGGGCTGGCAATCACCGGCCTGGAATCAAGACAGATGCTGTTCGGAGGGTTCTCTCCGTGAAGCTGTAATGTATTTCGGGCTATTAGCTCCTTAGCCATTAACGTGAACACCTCTTCTACATTTTGAGCTTCTTTTGCTGATGTCTCCAGTACAGCTAGGAGCCCGTGTTTCTCTGCCAGTGTGCAGGCATCTTCAAACAGTACTTGGCGCTTATCCAGCGAATCTGATTTGTTCCCTTAAAAGAAGGCAAATAGATAATTTAGTAATTTAGTCTCTCAAACATTAATCTTTAAATGTAATACAAGAATTCTATTTTGTTTAAACAATAGATCTTTTAGGAACAGGAGTTACTAGAAAAAACAAGATGTGAGCACATCAGAGCTACAAACATAGAATGTGGATCAAAACTGCAGTATCATATGATATCAAACAAGTTAAAATCCAAACAAAAACTAAAAACCTGTGTTCATCTAATTACTTGATGTAGATAATGGTGCCAGAAGATTATTTGGAAGCAACTGTTGGTCCCTATTCCCTAGTATTTTTAAACAGTAAGTGGCATTTAAGTTAAATATTTGAAAAAAGATACAGATCTTGCAGCTATAGTGACTGCACACAGCAAAAGAAAGCAATGTTGCATAAAGGTTTATTCCTCACTCAACCTTCAATGGAAGCCACACATGTTATGCTATTGTCAAGCTACTTTGATGCATCTCAGAGTGGATGCTCAGCTCTGAAGATCTGGAATGTTGTTAGCCTAAAGCATATCTCCTCAAGAAAACCCCCACTAAAACCCAGGAAGAATCTGCTCAACTGTTAATCAGATTTTAACATGACCTATTTGTACAAGTCAATAATTTTAAGATGATGTTGAAAAAGACAAGAATTCACACCAGCTATCTTAATGTTTAAAATTTATATCATGCTTAAAAAGTTTCTACATGTCTAGCTTAAACTTTTACTTGAAGCAGTTTAGTCAAAATATGTCAGAAATTAAACACCTCAGATGTTAAATACACCTTTGTGTATTTAAGTAGTTACAGCACATAGGAAATTATCATCAGGTCTGGTACTTTAAGTACCTGGCTGAAGTCTACATTCATAGTTTCAAGACAACCCTTCATCAAATTCAAGATCTGAACTTGAAGCATATATAAGTCAACTCCCCTCCCATTATGTCCCTTTCAGTTTTTCTAAAAGGAAAGAAAACCCAAACAACCCACCCCCCAAAAGAAAACCACAACCCCCAAAAAACCCACTTTGCTTGAGGGTTATTTGCCTTTTTAAGAAGAACCTCCCCCTTCATTTTCAGGTGGGAAAGTTACGTTTTTTTGAACTTTAAATTGATTACACAGAGTCATGTTGTACACCTTTCTAGTGTGAGGTTAACTAGCAAGGTATATAACATGACTATGTGTAATTAAATGTACAAAGACTTCCTGCTAAAGTAAAGCAAACAGCACCAGCTTGGAAGAAAGCACCAAGCTGGATCCTTGGCAAAAGCTTTATTTTTACCAATTTCAGAACTTCTTTCTTAAAAAAGCCCCAAACCATCCAACACCAGCCCTGACCACACACACAGACAGGTCTTGTTCTTTAGATTAATGAGAAAAGTTTAAAAACCCTGCTGAAGTTTAGTGACAATTCTTACCCCCACCCCTCCTTCCAAGCACTACAGTTACATGCAGGTCAGAATTTTTCTTCAGAGGCAGAACAGGCAGAACCACCACAGCAACAGTTAAATAACTTGCTAGGAGCAGGAGCAGCAGCTTAGGCCCCGTGTCTACTGCGCTGTGGGGCTCCAGGCTGCCCGTCCTCAAGAGCCAGTCTGGCTGCTGCGGCTGCATGCGCTGCTCGGCACAGCGCCACAGCGGAACAGGCAGGCGCAGTGGAATGTAAAGAAAGGCTCTGTCATTTTACTACCCTAGTTCTCTCATTTGCAGCTTCTCCCTTGGTAGAGAGAAGAGCAATAATAACTTGAAACACAAAGGGAAAGAACCACACTGCTTCCTATCAGCTCTGTTCTTTGCAATTTCTATCCATTCCGTTCCACAAGAGGCAAAGTTTCCTAGTGGAATAAACAAGGAGGAGGAACACAAGCAACAACTTCATGCTCTGCAAAAGCCATGTCCCCATCTACTGTCTTACCTGATCGAGTCCCATTACAGAGCAATGCGCATGCATATCAAAAGAACAGAGAGGAAAGATGAGAACGAGGAGTTGCGTTGCTCTGTCCCCTTCATCTTGAATTACTGAGCTGCTAAATTCCAGCACATCAGGAGTACAGGGTCAGACTCAACTGCAATTCTAACCTCAGTAAGGTTGTCCATGCTTGCTAGACTAACAGCAAGCTTGTTGCATTATTCCAGCAGGAAAGGAACAAGTAAAAAGTTTTTGCTGTCTGTCTAATGAGCTTGGTCCTGTCAGGACTATGCTGTGACCTTCCTCATTTTTTAATCTTAGGCCAAATTGATACTCTTTCTGATCTTGTTTAACTAAAACTGCATTCTTCTTTAATGCATAGTTTATAGATGCTTTAAGTAGTGGGGGGAAAGTGAGGGGGTTTTTACACACATTAAAAAAGCTACATAATACTGAAAATTAGATTCCTACCAATTAACATCATGACCAAGTTTGCAGCACCATACTTTTCAATTTCATGAATCCAGTGAGGAATGGATTCAAATGTGGACCTCCTAGTAAGGTCATAGGCAAGGATGGCCCCGTGGGCACTCCTGTAATAAGACTGAGTTATTGTCCGGAACCGTTCTTGACCAGCTGTGTCCCACACTTGGATCTGTAAGAGAAAGGATACAAGTTGTAAAGACCAGCAAATGCCCGTTTCTAGGTGTGTGGCATCAGCATCTACACCTTTGAAACCCCTTGTCTAGGGGGCTGCTAGACCTGTCCCAGCTCACTCTACCACACCGAGGTGTGGCTTTGCCCTCTCTAGATCTGAAGAGGCATTTAACATGCCTGTAAGGACAATCTACACAGACCAAAGAGAAAGCTGTAAGGGTAGCCCCAGCTTTACAAAGAGGCCAAGAACCTAATTGCAGCAACTGTACTAAAAGACATGGAGCATTACAGCCTCTTAATAAGAAAGGAAGAGGAGTTAAGAAGCCCTGATGCAGGGCTAGGCAGAGCACAGCTGGGTGAAGAGCAGGCATCTGAACTTCCATCTGCACACAGAAATAAGCATTTTCTTCTGGTACTTGTCTTAAAGTCTTCATCTTCCCTCAAATCAAGCACACATCAAAGCAAAGCCTTTGCAAACTAGAAATTTTCCTCTCCTCAGTGTTCCAGCCCAAACCCCCACATCTTTGAGGGAGAGAAGAGACACCCCCTCCAAGCCAGAGCCGGCTTTCAGGCAACCCCCCCAGGCAAAGCGTCAGCCCCCTCCGCAGGCAGAGCCAGACAAGCCGCGAGGGCGAGTACGAACCCAAATTGAAGTGACTGCCTCCCACAGGGCGTCCTTCTGAGGAGAAGGCTCCCCTCGGCAGCAGCCCTGCTCAGAAAGGCGGCCGGCTCGGAGCTGCTGCCCTCGGCGGGGCCGAGCAGCAGATGCGGCGCAGCCCCCGCCGCCCCCCAGAGGGCCGGGGCGGTACAAAGCGGGCGTTACCTGTCCC